AAAAAAAAACTCAAGGGTCTCCTTCCAGCACTCATCTTAACGAATGTCTATCCTTCAAAAAAGACATGTCAAAAGTTAAACGATGAAAGTACGATAGATTCTTTGTCGATAAAAGCATTATTTATCTATTTTTATCCATAAAAAGACTCTTCTCAGACTGTTCATACCAATTGCAAATATCATCAAATATTTCCACGAAAATAATGATCGATTCATCTGTGAATGAATTAATCACAGTACGAATTGGATTTCAACAACTTGGTCAACCAATTCTTTTCTCTTTCGGTCTTCTTGGTTGTATTCTAAACATCATTATATTTCTTCGTCCATCATTACGTACGAATTCTTGTGCAATCTATTTTCATATGAGTACATAGGCAAATTTATTTTGTTTAACATTCGGTATGTTTGTTGAAATAATTTCTTTCTTTCTCAATTATGATTTCTTATTAAATAATACCATTTGGTGTAAAATTCGATATTATATATTAACAAATTGTCAATTGATCAGTCGTGTGTGTGTTGTTTTCGCATGTTTAGATCGTTTTTCTTATGTTCATCAAATGTTCATCATCGATTATTTTGTCGATCGAAAATCGCAGTTCGAAATCTTCTCGTCATTACTGTGTTTTGTTCTTGTTTAACAATTTATGTTTTAATTGTTTATGATGCATTTCCTCAAACACGTCAATGTACAACAAATTCACATGTGGAAAGAATTCTTGATACAACTGTTTTATTTGTTTTCAATTTTGGAATTCCAGCATTTTCAATGACAATTTTGAGTTTTTCAATTCTTTGGCGTTTGAAACAAAATGCGAAGAGATTGGCTCAACAAAAAGTAAATATTTTCATTTGAGAATCGATGAACATTGATTGCTATCTTTAGATAAATGTTCGTAAACATGATCTTCAACTTTCAACAATGCTTTTTGGACAAGTTCTTCTCTATATTTTGACTGCATTACCATTTGTTTGTAATTTTGTTTATATAACGATAACAGGAGCTTTTGGTAGTTATGTGTTCAATGCGGCAAGAATTTGTTCGGAAGAAATATTTCATTAATTATGAACATGTTTAGATGACTTTTTATGTTTATACATTAACTGCACCAGGTTTTCGTCACGAATTATTTTCATTGGTCATTTCGCGAAGAAGGTTAAATAATTTTCAATCAGCAGATCTGCAGCAATTACCTCGAAATAATCGAATCAATCAAATATAATTTATCTCTTAATAATATCATTCAAAACTTCGAATCTATTGTGTTCTTTGTCGTCTTTCTGGTTTTTGGTAAAGTGCATTGATTAATGCTTTCGAGCTACAACAATAAAATTAATCGATAATCAGATGATAATCAAAATGAATTTGTTCATTGCTTTTTTCCTTGTGGTTATCTGGATCCTTGCTGGTTTTGATTCAAGATTTTCTTTATCAGCAGGATAAGCGGAAGATCGCAAGTTTTACTAGCGGATCCAGAAAAACGTCATGTCTTTCTTCAAATTTTGGAAATAGTGTCGAAAATCGTTGATGCATTTTGTCTTACAAGAGAAGGTCCCCAGGTGTGTCCCGGGGATTTCAATGAAAACAATGCGGGTTTGTTAAGTCAAGTATACCTATCTCAGGTGTGAAACAATTAGCGGCTACCGCTGCTGTCACACAAAGTTATAGCCAGAGCATTATCCAAGAAACTAGCACATGTACTTCGCTAAACAAAGTTTTTCTCAAGAATACTTTTCTTGAGGATTTTTTTTCATAAGAATTTTTTCTTTAACCACGATAGTTATAAATGAGTTGCATGCCGTTTCATAAAGTACTGGTAGTTCTAAGTTTTTTTTTATTAATGTTTATGATCATTTACAAAAAAGTAGTTGAAACAAAGAATACGTCGGCAATGGCTGCAGCGAATGAAAGAGTAGTCATCGCGCGCTACCGTAGAACAGAAATCTTCACCGAAGGAAAAACACACATCATGAACATTCTCAAAATGACCAGGATCTTTTGAAGCGTAGCCACTCGAATACCAAGAATATTTGATCATAGGTGAGAATGTTTTAGTTGATAGTTGATTATGTATCAAAGGATGCATTTTTAAAATGCAGTTTCTAGAACAGATGTCAATGTTTATTTGATCAATGGCCACTCGATCATAAATCTTTTGTTTGAAATATTTCCATTGTCGAAAAAATAACGATCCAATGGTTGAATACCATCGGTTGTTTTTGGTGGAATCTGCATTTGCTTACAAGTGATATTTTTAATGAAAATATCATCATAAATACTAGGATCAGTCTGACCTGAGCAGGAGTCCAGCAACAGTAAACAATCTTCAGAAATCGATGGACTTAAAACATTTTCAGCCCAACACTGAATTAGTAACGCTCGTCGAGGCAGACTCGCTATGCCCTCGACTGAACCACTGACTGAAAATAAAATAGTCTTATGTGCGTTTTATGCAAAAAAAAGACAGAAGTATAACCTTTGAAAGGATCCCCAGAGACTGATCTTCATTCGGCTCACAGTCTTCAAAAGAGTCAAAGGACTACTTGTGCTGCTTTTAATTATTCTATATTTCTGACTGACAATCACTCTTCACAGAAAGCAGAAGTTCGCTATAAATGACTATTATGGATTTGCACTTTTAAACATGTCCTCCTTTTTCTAAAAGAAAGATAATTTCGGTAAAACCAAATGAGACTATATATTTCGCATTCGAACGTGTCCGATTGTCGATACTTTGGTAACTGGCTAGATTACCAGGCGCCACTCACAACTCGCCGCTCCAAAGCTGTCCATATGTATCATATAATTACCCGTGTGCTAATAAAAAGTATCGAAAATTAATTAGCATTCCATCAGCATCTCATAGATAAAATTATCCATGTCCGAACATTTGAGACTATCTCCTTAATTAAAAGGCTTAAAGGCCCACAAAAACTTTGAATATATCGAAGCTCAGCATTTAAGATTGCTCTCCAGTATATAACTTGTGAATGAATGTATTTTTGGATTACTGGTCTTTAGTATGCGATAGTCAAGCGAGTGTGTTTTTACTTTTTCGTAATCATCTCTTCTATGTAGCCCTCCTCTCAGACGCGGTTGAAATGTTTTCTTCATTTCTGTCACGTCCCTGCCCCTTCACCCGTCATCCAGCCAAGCTCGAGCCTCAGGATCCCTCCCAAACGATGTTTCATGAAGTTTTGAGTATTTTCAAAGAAATGTTTTTTTGACCTTTGACCCTGACACAAACAGACAAACTTTTTTTTCATATGATCCTCCTTTCAGTCGAGGGAATACTACTTCGTGCATCAAGTTGTTGCTCGTCGATCATTTTCTCCTCTTCCATTTGATCACTTTTGTAATAACTATTACAGTTGATAGCTGATAAATTTTCACGTACCTTAACCATCGTGAATTGTTAATGAAAGAATACTTTGAGTTACTCTCTCGTTTTTATATGTATACGAGAACGCTGTATGATTAAGCAGGAATGAAAAAAAATTTTCCGTAGAGCGAAAGATTGTTTCAAAACATTCGATGGACGGGAAAGTAGCTTTTTTTCTCACGACATGCGATGGGGAAGGCTCAAAAACTTTCTTTCCCGATCCATGGCTTTTGATTCTGCATAATTAAACATTTACTTAAGATAATTATATACAGAGAAAGTTTTATTAAGCATACTATGTAATACTAAACTATCACCGTCACTACTTTTGAGCACTCCTCTGTATTTAAGATTTCTTTTGTAAAAGTGATATCGGATAACAAACAGAATACAAATATTGATTGCCGAATTACACAGATTAAGATCTGAAGAACTTTTTCAAAGAAAAAGACAAAAAAGACATATTTCACCAATAACATGCGATGCAAAAGTCTTTGCACAAAACGTCAAGCTCTATAGTTCAATCATTTTATTAACTAAAGACCTAGTTTTTTCTTCATTAACAAGAGTATAGAAAACACTACAAAAGACGTTATTCACAGAACTGAATACAATCCCTCTCGCCACATAGATCTGAGCTTTCTTCGAACACCTTCAATCATAACTTGCAACATTTTCAGATCAAGTTCTTTTGATTTTTTTAATTCTTCGAACTAAAGCATCCAAGTTTTTTGCTTGCCAATTGTTCTCGTATATTTTCTGTTCGAGTAGAGTCCATATCGTTTCGATTGGACGAGCTTGTGGAACATCTGGAGGATTGTCTTCACGAATAATGAATGGTACATTTTTTTTCGGTTAAACCCTGTTGTGCAGATTTGGAACAATGAGCACTTGACAAGTCAAGCCAGAACATATAATTTCCATCAGAATGATGCTTGTCGATGAAAGGAAGAAGTCTTTTGTTAATACATTCATTCAAATACGTTTGTTGAGTAACAGCTTGTTTGGTCTTGTGAACGTATACATCAGAAACACCTTTCGATGGCATAGCCATCCATATCATTACCTTCAATTCAAATTTTTTCTTTTTTCAAAATTTAATATCTGTTGGTGCTGTAGCTGGATTAGTAGAATAAAATAATCTATTACAATTCACGTTGTCTCCATTCAGTTTGAAAAATTTCTCATCATCTAAGATCAGATCACAATTGGATAACAATTTACGATAGAGTTTGCCACAATTTTTTTGTGATCGTTTTTCTTGATCTTCACTATCCATTTTCGGAGCAATTCGACGTTTTCTAATATGAATCGATGTTCTTCTTCGAAGATTACGGGAAATCGTTGACTGATGTACATGAGATTTTTTTGCTATTTTGCGTTGACTAACACCGGTTCTATTGTTTACCAATTTAACAATACTTTGTAGTTTCGTATCAGATAATTTGAGTGGACGACCACTTCGCGGCAGGTCATTCGAATTTCCATACTAGGTATACTTCTCCAAGACGTAATAAATAGTTTTTCGTGGAATATTGTTTTTAATAAAATAATTTACTGTAGTTTTCACAGATTTATTAGCTGAATCAATGTAGAAGTTGCAGATACGTTGTGATAGTGCTTCCCTTTCAGCACGTGTCATTCTTTTTGTGAATGAATGATAATGATTAGTTATATATCGTTGGAGAGGAAAGAATGAACTATTAGTTTATCATAAAATGTTCAGCGCATCACGTGCTTATCCGTCCGAAAAGCAACAGAACGTTTTGTGCAAAGACTTTTGCATCGCATGTTATATGAGCATCAGTCATATGAAAACAATCACATGTACTATTCTGCGAAAATCGAACATATTGAGGAACAACGTAAATGAAATTGTAGTGTCATTGACATGATAGAGTTTAATCTTTAAAAAATTAAAAAATTAATTTGATTTATTTGAGATGCTAATATTTGTCAAAATAAACAGCTAAGATGCGTTTCTCGTCAGTTGGTTTAAGGTTGAATATGAATATTGGTATCCGTTTATGACCATTGAAAACATTTACATCCCTAAAAGAAAAATCATTATTTTGCTAAGAAAATGATTATTCTTATATGCCATGCAAAGTATGATATTGTGATAGTTATATTAATAACGTCTGTATCACAGTATATCGAAAATTTAAATTCTATTTCCATAGATATATCAATTATGTATTGCAAATCCATTTAGTTTTCGTAAGAATGACATGATATTTTGTATTCAGAATATTGATTACTTTTTCATTTATTCGAATGACTTATTTCATGTTAACTATAGTCAGTCGACTAGTTCAACAACGAACTGTTGTACGTAAATAATTTTTTCTATAATTATTTTAGTGAAATTTATGAACACAAAATGCGATAAAACTTTAAATGCATCTGTATTGTATTTTAATAATACTCGAAAATCATTTCATTTCTCCTGCTTCTTGTTTTTTGAACGAAGAAAACTCAAACTAGTGAAATAGTAAGTGTATCAATATTGATTTTACATTACTTATTAAATATATTTCAAATCAATGACAATAGATTTTTAGTGTTCTCAAAACCTTTTTCTTTTATTTCGGTCAGGCACAGTTTCAAAGACTTATTAGAGAACCTCTTTTTAATTCGCTATTCTTTTATAGGAGGAACTTAGCAAATAAGCTCAAAGCAGTATATAGTTTGGTAGATTAAGTGACACTCTGTTTTACTACATGGAAATTTTAAAAAATTGTGAGTTTCGTTTAGCTAGGGCAAAATATAAACTGCTAAAAATAATCTAATCAACCTGTAATTATCTGAAGCACTGTATATAATCCTTCAAAAAAAAGGAATAATAACCACTCTTGGATAATAAATACTAGAACATGAAGAAATTTATTCAACGACGGATAATTTACGGATGCAAAACATGACAATATTAAAATAATTTACATGAAATGTCAGATTTATATTTCCAAAATCTAATCTTCATAGTATTTCGTGCTTCTGTCTATCTGTTACAAAGCCATTTATTTTAATTTAGCTACAACGGTGTTAAATCCAAAGTGAAGACAATGTTTCAGTTCCGCACGATATTTAACACTTGCCAACGTGTAAATATAAAATCCAATAGCAAAATTAGTATGATAAAGGTACTTGCTTACGCCAATAAAGCAGTAATAAATCAGATATTCTGACCATGAAAAATTATAATCAGTATAAAATAGACGTACTATAATGTAGATAAAACTAGCCATATATGGTAGTGAAAGCAGAATAGTAATAAGTATTTGAAATAATAACATTCGAATCATTTGACGATCTTGAGAGCGTAAACGAGTATTTTGTACATTGTTAAGATTTGGAACAACACGATTATGAATATTGTGAACGTTATGTATAATTAAAATACCAAAAATACACATTAAAATAAGTGGTAAAACACAATATAGAATAGATGTGAAGAAACTATTGAAAATATAGTATTCATCGGAAAATATAGTACAATAGTAGCCAACATCGGATGGTGACGACCGGGCGAATATTGGCAGATGAATATTAAGCATAATGAGTATGATATAAATACCTATGATCATTCGTCTTGCTATTTTGACATTACTTAATTGACGAAGTTGTACGTTTCGTGAACTTGATAGAAATCGATCAATACTAGCAAGAACAGGAAACCATAAAAGAAGTGAATATGGTAAATACTTAATAATAACACTTAATTTACACCAGAGATCGGTATTTAGAGAAAGATTTATATTCCACGCATTTGAAAGATAATCAGTTAAAGCAAATAAACAAGTAAATAGTATGTTATTGATTGAACCAGCTAAACAATATATCGAACATGGATTAGTACGTAGATTAGGACGAATAAAAAGGATAATATTAATAATATTTCCCATTGTTCCAAAAACAAATTGAATTGGTGGAATAATTTGTGCCATATAAATTACAGGAGTATTAATATTCATATAATAATCGAACAAGAAATCCGACATGATAAATAAATGAAAATATTAAAAAAACTAATTGAATAAAATTACTTGCCACTACTTATTTAGAGAATAGTAACTGAAGAATAAGTAGAATCTTCTTTTACATTCTTATAGAAGATAGACGTGTGACCAGACGGTGGCTCAGCCCCCTTTTACGACTTACTTACGGTTATGCCCCTAATAGAAGCTTTTTTTTTAATGAAAATATAGACATGACACTCAAGAAAAGACGCAAATAACACTTTTTTATTAAATTTTCATCATCATTCAAAATAATTTTTTTAAACACAATTTCATTATCATTTATATCAATTTTACAAGTTCTCAGCATACGTTAATTAGGGAATAGATTCAAACAACTCAAATCCAATTATCCTACTCGTTGACTAGAGTAGAAGTTATAACGATAAACTTTCTCATAGAATATGAGAACAACTACTGTAGGTATATAATTAAAATATCTTTTGATAATAAAAGAGAACGAACAAATTCTTTTATTGTAAGAAATAAACCATGTTTATTGGTTTTAATAATTAAAATAATAAATAACGCTCGTCGAGGCAGACTCGCTTAACCCTCGACTGAACACTCTAAAAAAATTAGTGCTCTACTGAACCCTCAAAAGAAGTTCCGTGGTTAAGAAAAAGTCTTCAGACAGGTTCACGATTACAAAAACGCAATAAAAATTTCTACGGAACCATTAAAGGATCTTCCCGTGTATCGGAGGGAAGAACCTTCTATTGCTAAACCTTTTTTTAAGTTCAGCATACCGAAAACAGGTTCCGTAGCA